GCCATTTGAGATGGAACGAAGTTTTTCAGGGTTACGTAGCAGGGAAGCAAAGGATGAACAGTAAATCATGAGGGAGACGCGAAAATTTGAGGCGTGATTTAGTGGTGCAGTGAAATGGCGTGTTTGGGGGTTATAAGGGTTTGCAAAACGTCGCACCTTTTCAAGCTATGGAAGAAAACAATGATTGAAATTCTTGGAAATTTCGAATGTTGCTGGAAACACAAAGTGAATATGGCAAAATTTAATAATTGGTATTAATTCTGCCATATTGGGGGGTAATTGTTGACACATAAAAATTCAGCCCAAATCGAGCCCTAGGAATGAAGCTCAATTGGAGGATCCCCAAATCAGATAGCCCAAAGAACGAAGCACAATCAAATAATTCAAGATGAAGGCCCAAATAGGGAGGCCCAAAAACGTGGTAGCACCATCGCCCAAGTTTGCAAGTCGCCCAAAATCTGAGCGAATGGAGTGCCATGCAGTCGACCAGAGCTGTTACTCTATTATCGCCCAAACCTTCGAGTCGCCCAAGGTCTTAGCAAACATAAAGTGTTGTGGTTACAAGAAGTGCAGTTATCAAAACAATTATTAAAGCAGCCCTATCACGTTCCACGATTCAAGGAATTCAATCGAAAACGGTTAAACGACGAAGAGTAATGACAGCAATTAAAAAAGGCAGTTCCATGACAAGTTGGCCATTACGAGGAAAGTGGGCAGTTGTAGAACAATCAAATAGTTTTTAGGTGGTTGATCACAAAGAGATCATCTAAGGGGTATAAAAGGAAGAAAAGACATAGAGCAAAGGACCGAATCAAAAACTCTCGAACAGAGAACATGTAATTTTAATTTCCTTAGCTTAGATTTAAACACTTCTTTCAGTAACTCGTGTGCTTGCGCCCCTTAGAGGCATTTTGTTTTTAATTTCCAATTGTAAAGTCATCGCCAATAAAAGAACGTCCCTTTTTGAGATTTTGTCTCAAGATGTTTGTCCCTTACACAATTGTCTGATCCCTTTTAATTGTTAACAAAGAACCCGTGCGAAACAGGGCGCAAGGCAACCCGAAAAAGCAAGACTTGCAGCAATTGTAAGCCTTTTAGGAATTAGAGATATTTGCTATTTCCTATTATTTATCGTTATATGATTTCGTCTAGAAGTATAAATTCTTGGAAGGGATACGAACATGGCCTTCCTCAACCCATTTTCCGACCCTTTTGCCCGTAATCCATCTGATTCCGATACACAATCTATTAATAAATCCTTTTTAGACCCTTCCATTATGCCTAAAACTAAACCAGCCCTTGTTCTACATGTTTTGCTATGCCCCTTCCTCTTGACATGATCCCGATTTTCCTTCTACCCCACCTCCTATTCAAATTTTCTTGATTTAGTATAGAAAAAGATTCCGGTGGAAAATGAATTAGGTTTGCAAAGAGGATTGGGGAAAATTAACATTTGCTACGAAAAGGAAAGAATGATTCTTGAATTTTGGAAAGAAAGTGCTATTAATATAATGGGTTATATTCACTTGTCAAATTTTAACGGCGTCAATTGCCACGTAAATTTTTTTTTTTTTTTTTTGCCTAATCGGATGAATAGAATTTAAATAGGTGATGAATGGGTAATTTTTTTTAAAAAAAAATGGGCAAACAGTCAATAATCATTTATTTTTGAATGAGCAAATAGTAATTAAAAATAAATATTGGTAATTGATGATTTAATTAACTTGTCAGTCAATAACCATTTATTTTTGGATGAGCAAATAGTAATTAAAAATAAATATTGGTAATTGGTGATTTAATTAACTTGTCTAATCAACCTGAATGATTTTGTTTTTGTTTTTGCTTTTGTTCTCTTCATATTTTCTCCACACGTGGGCAGCTTGAGGTCAAAACGGCTGGGTAGAGAGAGAGGAACACTAATTTTTGGAGTCAATCCCATATTATTTTATTTTATTTTTTGTTATTTTTATTTTTTACAAAATAAAACCTAGTCAAGTTTTCTTAATTTTGGGCAACGTATTGAATCCCAACTACCCATGCCTACTTGTTCTTTAAGTGGTGTTGGAAAACTAATTTTTGGAACACTAATTTTTGGAGTCAATCCCATATTATTTTATTTTATTTTTTGTTATTTCTATTTTTACAAAATAAACCTAGTCAAGTTGTCTTAATTTTGGGCAACTTGTAGAATCCCAAGTACCCATGCCTACTTGTTCTTTAAGTGATGTTGGAAAAGTAGAATTGAAGAAGGAAAATGCTGAGATGTATACATAGGCTTACACCCCCATCACATAGAAGGGGTTCACGAATATTTTATTACATGTGAGTTTCTTTTCATGTAAGGAAGTGTAATGTTATGTGTACACCATTTTGTACACATAGTATTTCCCATTGAAGAATGGGTTTCAACTTTTTGTTAATAGAATCTTCATTGTAGAGCGTAGACAATACAGTTTCAATCATTAAAAAAAAAAAAAAAAGGTTTTATACCCCTTTACTCTTTAGAATGACAAGATCGAAAATAAACAGAGTTCCGTAACATTGTTTAGGTGATTGATAAATTGAGATTGTAAAAACATATTTTTCAGTGTCAATAGTATCTACTTTGTTTCATAGCGGTTATCATGAATTTTTTAGTTTTTACCAACTCGTACAGACAAAAAATTTATTTTTATTGATAGATTGTTGTATCTATAATAGTTGAAATCTTATCAAAGCAAGGAACTAAAATTTAATTAAACTCCATTAGCTTGCTGGGATGATTATATAGAGAATGATCTAACAAGTATTTGAATTGGTCGCATATTATTACTATTATCAATTTTGATATTCTGTCTTTAATGAGTAGATAAAAAATTTCTATTGTTAATGTGCCAAAGTTAACCTTAAATATTATTATCTGAAAGAGTCATAATTATAGAAAATCATAATTAAAATTCTATTGTCACGATCATATCAATAACGAGAAATTTTTATTTAGATCAATTCCAAAGCTATTATTTATTAAACGACCGTTCTGATCTCCACAATAATATTTATTGTTTATAAAAATACTAGAAATTTTATATTAGAATTAATTATATAAAGTGACAGTTAAAGAACACTGAGTGATATTTTATTACATCTTAATTGATAGTGGGAAAACTTCTACGTTATAACCTATTGAATTTGTAAACATTCAGAAAAATCAAAAAATGGACCAAGACCACGAAAAGCAACAATGGCAAAGAATTCTTCGAAACCCAAAACACGGTCATTTTGGCTTTTGACAATTACAACTACGTTTCGACAAAATATGCTTATATTCTTTACAGATTGGCAGAAAAATCTTTCTACAACAATCTTTGGCTGAAAAATCTTTGTTCCTTTTTATTTTTATTATTATTTTTTTAATTCCACTTCAACAAAAAGCATCCAATTCCAACTTGCAAACCACTGATATTATCACATTGATGCCTTCGTCAACTGATCAAGATTCATGGGTCTTCACTTTCTGTGGGTAATTTCTAATCGTTACCGTATAATCCGTTGAATTTCTTGATTTCTTGTTCAAATATCGGTTCAATTGCTTGATGCTAGTAAAAGAGATTGTTAATTTCTTGTTTGTATGTATATATTGTTTGTGGGTTTCTTAAGACTCTTCCGATCGTCGTAAGGATGAGTTTTCGTAACGTAAATTTTACTAATTTATGATACCAGCTTGTTAGTTTTGAACGCTCGCTCCTCTTTGTTTGGAGTTTTAATTTGGGTTTTTGTTGTGTGAACATTTTTATCATTTACTACTTTTCATGCTATTTCATCAATCATGATAATTTTGTTGATTAAAAATACTGAAAAATGAGGCTATGCAACTATCAAAATTCAAGTTACTATTCATTTCTAATATGAGTATTTGATTCGATGTAATGATGTCATGGTGGATTTTTGTCTCAAATGGATAAAGAGGAAATAAAAACTAGTTAAATGAAGGAAAAATAAGAAGTCTGGAAGCATATCTGATACATGGAGTTGAGTGAAAGACGAACATTGAGATAAATGTTTATGCAGTTTCCTTTTGTGCAGGTATGAATTATTTGGATATTATTTTGTATACACTGACGAACCAAATTTTGTTTCTGATTTATTCAGATGGAGTGTTCATTTAACTTCATTTTTACAAAAAAAATTTACACACGTGTCTTTGTTATGGTTTTTGCAGACAAAACAAACTATCTATAAAAAACAATTTAATTATTTGGAGCAAATTTCATTTGAAAATTATGTGTAAAATTTCAAATTTAAGTAAGAAGAACACAGATTCTTTTCAACCTATCATTACTGGAAACAAGATAAGCGAAGATAAATGGAGAGGAAATAGGATTTACTCTCTCCCTCCAACTGCCTTTTATTTGGTTGAATAAGTTGTCCACCCTGCAGCTAACAACCGGCTTCGCAGGTGATTGAATTGTGGAAGAAACTTTGTTATCATTTCATCATAGATAAAACAAGTTGTTCTAGAAAATTTATCATGAAATGGGAGTTCTTTAGATGCGTTTATGTTTCCTTTTCCTTTGGGTTTAGAATTTGTTACTTAGCATTCCAAGTAAGAGTAGTTTACCAAGTGTAGATGATTGACATAAACCATTAGATGTGTTCTAAAAATTGAAAGATGAACTAGGTTCCTGCTGAAAAAATTATGCCCTTGTTTGAGCCCCATTTTTGTCAAGAAAATGCATTTTTGAATAGTGCAATGATGTGAAATGTGTGGTTAAAAAATAAGGAAAAGTTTTGGATTTGTGTGTAATAATATTTTATTGAAGAATGTGTGGTTAAAATGATGTCAAAATACTGTTTAAAAATGCTTTTTTTCTAAAGAGTGAGGCTCAAACAAGGATTATAAATAAAAGCATCATCTCTCAGACTCTAACTGTGTCTATGCTAAGAAACCTGGATCAGTACAATTACACATTTGCCTATCATTAGATTATTTTGTCATATACCTGCTAACAATTTGAAGTTATTGTAGAATATAATGCTGTGACATCTGAATTCAGAAATTAAAATTCAAGCTACTGTAGTTACACAGGGATTGGAAAAATTCAGTCCAGATTTTTCTCTATGTTTTGTTTGCCAGTTTATTCTTTTTTGTAGATACCTATTTAGAAGCATTACAGAAAGAAAATTTACTTTGATCCATGTTGAAGCCTTAGCTCTCAGAAATACCTAGGGGAAAACGGACTGTACAAGCAAATAGCCAAATACTAAGGTTTCTGGGTAGAGCTCAAAAGCTAACGGCAGACTCTAACTAGAATGAGTATGATTTATTTTTTTATTTTATAACAATTGTAAATTTGAATTTTATGATCTCTTTTCTGTCTTAGTAAAATTAAAATTCTAAAGCCTGACAGGAAAGCAAAAATGAATTTACTTAGCAATTTCTTGAACAATTAGTAAATCAACTTACAAATAATTCATAAGTTGGAGATCATTCCTAAAATAATAAAGTTACATAGCATGAATTGTAACAAGTTTTCAGTAACTATGTTGTTTTCCTTTTCAGTTTTTTCCTGTGTTGTCTTCTGTAACATTTCTGAAACCTCTATGGTATCATCCACTTGATTTGTATCATCTGCTTCATTTATTTTTTGCATCACTAATACGTCCCTATATAACTGACTTCCGTATGTGTTATAATGAAACTCTCTGTTTAATTACTGAGAAATGTCATTGGTTTCTGCTGCTTCTATTGATCGGTATATGTAATCCTGCTGCTGACATTAGATACTGACAAGTCTCATCGTGTCAGAAGAGCTTTTAATTGATAATGTATGACTTTCTTGTTCAGTTACAGTGACATACCCTGTCTGCAAGATGTTTCCATCATCTGTTTTTGAGAAACGACCAAAGTATGGTTCATAAAGATTTGGTTATTATTGGTATCTCTGTTGGTGTGGCTGCTGGTGTTCTTATAACATCAATCATAGTTCTTGGCATTTGTTGGTATAAGAAGCATGCTCATCTTCCCCGCAGTACAAATGAGGGTTCTCTTGCTACCCTTCCTATACGAGAAAATGGCTTGGGTGCAAGCATTGAGATGAGTGCATCTCTCTCAAATTCTGTAATTATCAAGGGATCAGACTATCTTGCCAAAAAACCTCGAAACTCCTGGTGGAGTAATCATAGTAAAGAACAATTTACTTCGGCATCTGGACTGCCAAGATACTCTTACAAGTATGTAAGACCCAGTTCTATATTAGTGTTTGTTTTCTTTAACTCGTAAATTTGCCTCAAGTTGTACACTTTTCGAAGCTGCTTCTTCATTTTCCTTTTTTCATGTTCCTTCGATGAAGTCTCTCAGTAAATCTTACCTAGGAATTAGGACATCTTGCTTGATTAATTATTTCCTTGCAAATGCCAGAGAAAAGTAAAACATGTTCAAAGTTACCTCTTATTGTGTCTTTGGCCTTGGGGGATTGGGTTGATTGTTATCCTTTCATTCTTCGTCTTCTGCACACTCGTCTTTTGGAATGAATTAGAAAGTAGGTGTTTTTGGTCAATGAGCTTCTTAAATGAATAGGTATGTGAATGGAGACCAAGAGTTACCTAGTTTTACAAGCACTATCTGCTTGCCAGTTCATTTCGTTCAATGGGTTGGGCTTGGATGAAAGAGTGCTACCACGTAAACGAGTTACTGAAACCCCTGGGGATTCCACTGCTAGGGTCTTGGAGAGGAGGGAGAGAGAGAAGAAGGGCTGAATAAATTTGGGTGTCCTTTTTTTTTTAATAATTCTCTATCACCGTTTTTAAAGCATTGCATGGAATGCTTGATCTATTTCCTTGTGGATTTTTAGAGACATTCAGAAGGCAACACAGAACTTCACAACTATTCTAGGACAAGGCTCTTTTGGCCCGGTGTATAAAGCTGTCATGCCTAGTGGTGAACTGGTTGCTGTGAAAGTTCTTGCTTCCAATTCTAAACAAGGGGAAAAAGAGTTTCACACAGAGGTAATGGCTACATTTATTGTTATTTAATTAAAGAACAATTTTGATGCTAAAATACATGTATCCCCCTATTGCTCAGGTTTCGGATAAACTTTGTATTTATAAATGTATCTCTTCTGCCCTTTGGTTCTGTAAATGGTGAAATTAATTTCAGTCCGTTAATTAGGTATTGGAAGCTAATAAGATTACCATTTGAAAATCAGATATGTTGTTTTCTTTCTTTCCTATCTGGAAAGAGAGAGTAAAGAAATTTTCAGTGCTTTTAACAAATGGAAATATTGCCTGAGAATTCCTCCGAGTTTTGAAAAGAGTATTAAAGTGCCATGCAGAAGTCTACATGGAACCTGCTCTTTATTTATTTCAGGCGTAATCAGATGAACAGAAATCACCAATGTTACTCGGGATGCATGTTTCCTGATAGAAAGCACAGTTTCTTATCCATGCTATATATGGGCCTTGAATGTTTGCAGGTTACTCTGCTTGCTAGGCTGCATCATCGAAATTTGGTGAATTTAGTTGGATATTGTGTCGATAAAGAACAGCGGATGTTAGTTTATGAGTTCATGACCAAAGGAAGTTTAGAGAACCTCCTATATAGTAAGTCTGTAGTTTCTGAACTTGTTAATTCTGAGTTTTCTGTTCACGTGAACATTCAAGTTTACAAATCCATGCCTTCTGTTTTTTATGATAGTGTTGCATTGAAATTTGACATTGATACAAGACAAAAAATGTATTTGCTAATTTGTACAATCTTCTTTCTCCCTTTGTGAAAAAGAATATAAGGGAGGAATATATGGATATTTAATGAATCGTAAAAGGATCCGTTTCCTACTTCCATTAATTGTGTCCGTTCTTACATTACCAAGCCTTCCTATTTCAGGGAACTTTAGAAGGTAAGTGCCTAATTAAAATATATGATGCTCTTTAAGGATATTGAAACGGTTGACTGGAATGAGTTTAACTGCCAAATATGATGAAATTTTTTGGTATATAATTGTATTTAACAAGTATATCGGAAAATCTTGTGTTTGATTATTAATTGAAATTTAATCAAGATCATGCTTGAGTACCCACCTTAATCTAAGGTTCCATTATGCGCTTGCTTCAAGTTGAAAAGAAAGAGATTCCACTCGAACTATTCTCGTTAGAATGAAGAAGATGATTCAAGCATTCCCCTTGAGGCTTTCATTTGGTGACTCACTCAAGATAGCATCTCTAGAAAAAAGTATAGCTTGTATGGGTAATGTGTACTAGATAAGCTACATGTATCATAGCAATTGCTTGAAACTATTTACTCCCTCATAAACCAACCACTCCTGCGCCACTGAAGCAAGAAAAGAAGGATTAAATTCTTCTTTAATGTTTTCGTTTCTTTTAAGGGGTGGGGAAGGGGAGGATATCAGGGAGTAAAGAAATAAGTTTGGTATTTCTTGTTTCTCCATTATGCAAGAACATGGCCTTTTAACCAGTTTACGATTGACATGGTGATTAACACGCCAATTTACGAGGTTCTTAATAATTATCCTTCCAATTTCAACATTGGATGTCTTGGAGCAATGGTTATTCATTTCTTAATAGTGTTTTCAATCAATGTTGGTTTCAACATGAGCATTTGATGAGATAAAAAATAATTAACTGGTACATTGTTCATTGGCAAACTTCATGAATCTCTTGTGAGACTTTTATATCTATTAACTGCAACTTCTGTGGATTTCCTTTCAGATTTCTAGTACATAACTTGTGTTCTTTCGCCGCATATTCAGATGAAGAGGAAGAAGCTCTGAGTTGGGAAGAACGAGTACAAATAGCATTAGACATTTCACACGGGATTGAATATCTTCATGATGGGGTAGGATATATTATATAATCACTGACAGTAACTTCTTTTTCCTTACAAGTCTTAATCACTTTGACTTCCATTATTCCTTGGAACAGGCAGTGCCACCTGTGATACATCGAGATTTGAAGTCTTCTAACATATTGCTAGATCGTTCCATGAGAGCTAAGGTAATTAATATAAGCTTTTATTCACATGTGGCAAATGTTGCAAGTTGATGTTTAGGCCATGTATGGCTAAGCTTAAAAGTTTTTAAGTAAATTAACTTATAATTAACTACTTCTAAAAAATAATACTTACTATTGATCAAAGGTGGAAATCTGTTAGTTATTTTGACAGTAAGGTCGGATTTATTTTCAACAAGTATTATTTTTCACTTGTAAGTAAGAAAATATTAGCTGATTAAGCTATCCAAACATGTTGGGAGGTAGGAAGATTGTTTTCCTATTTTATAAGCTTAGCCAAATATCAGTGTTGCAATTTAAAATGCGTGATTTTTTTACCGGTTGCTTAATGTATTCATTGTTCCTTCTCTAGTGATGGTTTCTGTTTCCTTATATATGCTTGGTCTCTGACTAGGTTGCTGATTTTGGGCTGTCAAAGGAAGAGGTTTTTAACGGCCGTAATTCAGGCCTTAAAGGTACATATGGGTATATTGATCCCATGTACATATCCACAAATGAGTTTACGACAAAAAGTGATGTCTATAGCTTTGGTGTTATCCTCTTTGAACTCATCACAGCCATTCACCCACACCAAAACTTGATGGAATATGTTAACCTTGTAAGGCTTCTTGACCAGAACTTCCAAAGTTATCCTTCCCTAATTTTCTCGTCTTGACCTTTTTCCTTCAATTTTTATGTGAAAAATGCAGAGTTGGTCCACTGCCAACTAAATACCCGAGTAGCAAGTTGGTCCCCATCCTTTAGAAAAGGAGCAATTTTGCGCTCAACCTTTACTGTTGTTGCACATGAAGTCGCAATGGACAGTTTCTGTCCAGAAATTCATTAACAAGTCCTTTTTTTTAACTTGAAAGGACAGTTTACAAGAGTTAAAGGTTGAGGACGAACTTGTTCCTTTATATGGGTTTGCGAGCATCTTGTTACTTGAGTAATATTGCCGAACTTTTTCCCTGTTATTGTGAGAGTGAAGTTACGTCGTTGTCATTTCTTCATTTAACTTCCTCTCAGGCTGGTATGAGTCCAGATGGTGTAGATGAAATAATTGACACGCGGATTATTGGCACATTTAACCCCGTAGAAGTGAGGAGTCTGGCCAAGATCGCTCACAAATGCTTACACAAAACACCCAGAAAACGCCCTTCAATAGGAGAGGTTTCACAGGCTATTCTAAGGATAAAGCAAATTCGCCTTGTTAGGGAAGACGCACAGTCTTTCGCGGGAGAAGATTTTTCAAGAGCAATAAGCCGGATAGAAAGTCAGCAACTGGAATTGAAGAAAATGGCTAGCATCAACGAAGGACCAAGACAATGACCATTTTTATTTTTATTTTTCATACTTGCAGGTTTTTTTCCCCTTTCTTTTTCCATGGCAAATATACAGACAACAATACCGCTGCAATGCCTGTATAGTAAAGAAATTGCTAACGAGTATTTTCCAGTCAAAATTATGAGATAAAGATCATAGTTTTTGTGATGATTTAAAGCAGTTCTATTTTTAATCTTGAATGCATATGGAGAATTGGAATTTTATTTCCCTCTTATTTCTGCATAAAAATTTCACAACCTTGGAAAGAAATTAGAGGGCTCAAGTTATGAACTAGAATACAAAAACTAAAGCAAAGCTCTTGCTTCCCTTCACTTAGACTTAAAAGATCAGAATGACCCAACTAAGTTGGGGGGAAAAAAAAGAATTGGAAATAACTCCATGAGATACAAATCAAGTGAATGATATTCCTTTATTACCCAAATGTCCAATGAGCTGTGGCCCCGTCCATCCACTTTAACGATCTATGGTAAGAGACTTTTCGTCCAATTCTAAATCACGTGAACGTTGATGGTAATTTGAGAGTGAATACAATGTCCAAGATTTTTTCGCTAACACATGACAAGCTCCAGTAAAGAATATTTTGAAACGAGATAAACTGCCCAACAAGTGGTGCAACATCAATTTGTAAATCTCAAATTCGATATGATGATTGATACTATTCTTGCATCGACCAAATGCACCATTCGAAGTACATTGTAATCTTCAATACATTGATCAAAACATAATCCCAAACTTAAGGTCATCTTGAACCCTATGGGCACCTAAAGGAACAAGGAGGAAGTCAAATGAATTCTCAAATTTGTTAAATTTGATCGACAAAACCCTCGTTCAAAGCGAAGATATTGCGCGTTGACTCTCATATGTTAGATTATCATTGTCATGAATTTACTACTTATTATCCACCATATTTTAGTAATACACGAGTCGCATAAGAGATTCACAGATAATTTAATGAGATTCTCAGCAATTTTTTTTGACTAATCCTCTTAATATGCCATTTTTCCCCCACCACTCGATTGTATCTTTGGCGATTTCTTCAAAATTGCCTTTCATCTTTCTCATAGACCGATCTTTTAAGTACTATTTCAGTTTGACATTAATTATTAAAAAAGTTTTAAATATTTCATAATAGAATTACTTACTACTATCTCTCATGCTGAAACTATTTATATTTATATGTGGTGGTTGCATTGTATGGAAATGGTAAGGAAAAATGCGACACTGCACATAGAAATTTCTCGAAAAATGGGATATGGTTGCCAGAGAGTCAAAACGTTGGGGCTTTATTGCTTTGTCTGGTAGGTTATGGACTCAATTGCTCCTCACGTGAAAGGATGGGGACCCATTGTGCTATTTACCCAAAAGTAATGAATCTTTACCAATGTTATAAAACTCGACCCGCCCTAGCTGGTTGACTCGGTAAAACTAGGAACATGCTCCACGTCCTAGCCGATTAGATAATAAAAATCTATCTTTAAAAATTCATCAAAGAAATCAGCAGGTCGATTAATTTCTGAATACATGTTGAACCAGTTTCGATTGAACAGGATTTAAAGGGTTCAATTTTAATTAAAATTTATTATTTATTTTTGTTAAACGATTTTATGAGAATGTGTTGAAGAATTCAATTATTACAAAGTTAATTTATAGACTTTTCAATCGTTTATATATGTTTAGTTCTTTC